CTGTTGACCGAAAGGTTGATGGGTTGAACGGGATGTGAAAATTCGGGGAGGAGAAGGAGATTGGTGCAAACTGGATGAACAAAAGAAAATGCGAACTAGTTTAAATCGCTCAGTTAATTAGTTAATCTGAGGTTGCTGCTGCTTTCACACACAGCTGCATTTTATTGGAAAAGGAAAAACAAAAGCTGTATACGTGATAATTGAAAGAAAAATCTTTTGCAGGATTAGCCAACAGATTTTCTTTATCCAGCTAAAAGAAGACATTTTCAGGGATGGATGGATAGAAGGTTGTGGTGGGTTTTAATCAAATTAAAAAGCTGATTTGAACACCTGGTTGATAAACTTCAATGTTATCAGATTTTTAAGCTAAGTTGTTCACTTATAATAATAATTATTATTATCAAGTAAGAAATGAGGTACTCGAAATACAACATTTTTGATTAGGAGATAAACTTGTTGTCTCGTTTAAGATTTGCTATATCAGAATTGTATATATTTGTTATTAAAAATTAAAAATGATTATAGGAAAATCTTGCCTTGTTCACAAAGATGAAGATCACAACCTAACAACTGCTATTAAATAATAATCTGCAAGGATATTTGCGACCGCGGAAGTCGGTTGGATCAAAATGGAGTTGGCCTTCCGATTTTGGCTTGCTGACGTCAAACGCGGCGCAAAAAACACACAGAAAACGAGTGAAAAATTGTTGAAAAAATGGCAATTTCCCTGATTGACGTTCATCATCGTCGTTGCCGCGGGAAAGAGAGGGAACGAGCGCTGAGGGACGTGTGCGAGCGAGAGGGAAAGAGTGTCCTGGGACTCGAATTGAACTGTTCCTTCAACTTTTGGCTGGGCAAATATTTTGGGCGCCATTTCGTTTCTTTCGCGAAAATTTTACTTTGTTGCTTCTCTTACCTACACACTTACACTCCCACTAACACAACCACACGCAAACACACACACACACATTTAGATATGTGGACTGTTATACAAATACTTTTGTAAGAGGTCCTTCTTGTTCGCTCTTTTGAAGGACTCGCCTGCTTTTATTTCACTTCTACTTCGTTTTTCCTCAGCCACATTTTTGTCTTAAATGATTGCCATAAAAAATAAGTGCACATTATTGTTACAACATGGCCGTTGAGGGGGAAAGAGAGAGGAAGCGAGTGAGTGAGAGAGAAAGAGAGGGCAACTGGTGGGACAGAGATGGAGTGAGTGCGCTTAAAGGCACTTTACAGTCATCCATACGCGTAGTGTAACAAATTATTTCCAAAGAATTTCCGCATTATCAGGTTTTAAGAGCTCCTCTGGACCACTCTACTTTTTAGCCATTCAAGAGGAAAATTATTTAAATAATTAACTCGGCTTCCATATAAATAGAATAGTTATTCAAATTTCTACTTTATTTTGCAGCACAAATAAGCATTTTTCTGTTGAAATTCCAATCAATTAAAATATTTATTACGAGTTTAAAATATAATTATTTTATTTACCTTTCTGAAAAATATTTCACAGAGAAAACAACACAGAATTTATTTGTACAAAGGAAAAGCATGATTCGTTGCAAAAATGGTAAGGAAAAATTATTTCATGTTTTGAATGCCAATCGATTTGGATTTCGATGGCGAGTTCAACAAGGTATGGCATTCCATATTCTGACCATTTCTCCCCTGGTAAATGTAAAGCGTAGTAAAACTACAAATATTTCCTTTTAAATTAAGTGATTTTGGCCTGCTGAACCTTTTCCTTCACCTTGTGTTACATGCACACTTAAGCAATGTGTATTCGTGGAATATTTTTGTTCACCCTCAGTGTTTTTCCATCCCCCTTGCCGCGCTCTATATTTATCGCAATTTAATATTCATACATCCCCCAACGCTTTTCTTGGCTATTTTTAAGCGCTCGCCTCCCCCGCAACACTTGTTTATGGGCGAGTGGAACAGCGTTTGTCACTCGGCAACACCTGGCGTGGCATTTGGAAATGCTATCCTAAACGAATCCTGCTCCCTTTGCTGCTGCTCATGCAAAAGGAATGGGGGAGAAGGTGGGAGGGAAATTAGAGGTCCTGCCAAAGACAATGGCATAAATAGAAGTGAACGAATTGATGGGACTCCGAGGAGAGCAGAAGTGCAGGCCAGGATTCGTTGGAGTGGAGCAGGAAAATCAGGTGCAATGGCAAAAGACACAAGGCACAAGGCCGAAAAGCAAGGAATTGAATGTCATTTCCCAGAATGTCATTTTCCAGCCCGCTGGGATTGCCTTTTCGGTGCAGAGTTCATTCTTCGCCGAGAAATGTCACTCGGCTTTGCCAGTTATTTCGTAGTATTCGCTCATAATTGCCTTCTGGCGGGGAAAACTGCCTTTGTGCAAAATTGCGTATACGCCGCATCGTCAGCCAGCAGAAACGCCAGCTAAACTGCAAACTTACTCCTTTTAGCATCCACTACTTCTGTGCACCGGTTACGTGGATAATTGGAAATCTCAACTTAGGCGTCAAAATCAAATGCAAGCTAAAGCCGTACGTATACGTTATATTGCTCATACGCAGTGTTGCCATCAAAATGTTGAAAGTCAAACAAACGAAAAGTAAGACAGAGAGCGCACTGCCGAATAAATATGCTGTGAAATAAATCAATATAAACAATTCGAAATAAATGCATAAATGAAAATCAAATTTGAAATCGTTTTTATTTTTTCCCTCAATTTCCTTTTCTCTTGCACACGTGGCAAATGCACGTGTATGTGTGTTTGGGTATGTGAGTGTGTGTGTGTTTTTGTGGCAGTCTTTGCATAAGCCATAAATTAATTAAAATCACTAAAGTAAGCAGAGCAAAAAACAATAGTTTTGAAGTTTCCCATTGCTGTTTTGCAGTTACTTAGTTTGCACAATGGCATCCAAGTGCAATCGATATTTGTCTATATATATATATATATATATATGTATAGATATTTGCTAATAAAACTGTCCCACACACTCGCAGTTGAGCACTCGAGCTGACACTTTTGGGGTTATTTTATAAATATTTGAAATCGAACCCGGGAATCGCTTTAAAATAAAACTCTGCGTGGGCAGCCATCGAAAAGTACTTCAAACCGGCGATAAAGACAGGCACCTACAAAAAAACCCACACACTTGTCGTTCTAACACAAACAGAGGGCAAAAAAAGGGAAGAAAAAATAGATAGAAGAACTCGATACCCTCTAATCAATTAATGTGATCAGGTATAAGGAAATTTCAAAAAGGGAACTATGAATAGATATTATTAGTTGATTAATTAAAACCTATAGATAATAATCTTTTTTAAATATTATGAATTTCAATTCAATAAAATAAATTGTTACATATAGTACGAAATATATATATAAAAGAAAACAAATTTTAAAAAATTTAAATTTTAAAAGTGTCTAAAAGAAAACATTATGCCTAACATACTTATTTAATATTATCCTTATTCTGGTTTATTATTTATTCTGATTTCCTTAAAGTTACTACACAACAATATCCTTTCCAGAAATCCAAATAATGGGTATGGATATTATAATAATAGCATTGGAAACGTCAGCGACATGCTCGGCAAAACAAAAGTCAGTCAAATGGGTTTTTGAAAGGCCAAAGGGATGACAATCGCTTGAGATCCGGTGGAATAAATGCGAAAGAAACCTTTTTTAAGCACAACCCCAACGCCACTTAATTCAAAGATAAAGCTGGCGATTGAATCAAATTTAAAGTACACAATTTCATAATCATTGTTAAATTATAAACTACGAATCCCTCTCAATTAAGGAACCATTAAAAGTGCACTATTCGAATGGCTGTTCTGTGGGTTTATGGGTAACATAAAACCCGCCGGATTGAAGGCCATTAATTTCCTCGAAGAGACAGATCTGCTCCTCGCCCGACTTTTCCCGGTTGCTTGAGCCCGTGACACCCCTTTTCAGCCTCCATATCTTCGCCGCTTTCTATATCTGTCTGAAGAACCGGGGCTTTCAGTCGCGTGCGATCACGAAGCGCATAAATGGCATTTGACACGTGACAAAAATGTTCAATTTTAATATTTGCGCCACCGAGTGTTTTCTTTTGCTTTTTCTATTCTGTGATGTTCTCTCCTGTTTCGCTTATGTGATTGTGTGAGTGTGCTTTAGTATGTGTGTGTGTGTGTGTGAGTGTGAGCCTTGGTTAAACTGGTTTCCATTTGGTTTTTGTTTCTTCGACATCATTTCTATGACTCTATAGCCGGGAAATCCCAGCGATTGCGGCTCTTTAAATTTGTTTTGGCCCGCATGTGCGGACACTTGGCCCAAATGATGCGACCTAATAACTGGCGAGAGCGAAGCCAAAAGCTGCACAGGATTCGCAGGACCTGTGTTGCCATCAACTTTTGACTGGCCATTAAATATTATGGCTATGCAAACGAATCAACAGCAGTCAGCGCCCCAAAAGGAAAAAAAAAAAAAAAGAAACCAAAAACCGAATGAAAATCAACAACATCGAGAGCGGCAATCATTTCGCCCGTCGACGCTTTGCATTTTTGCCCATTTTTGGATATTTTCGGCGACGTGACGGCAAATAAAAGTTAAATGAAAATTAAACTATGCAAATACAAGCAAATTTTTGCGGGTGAGGTCGAAATGCCGGCGTTTGTACTTCTGTCGACCGTTTGATTGGAGTCCAACTGCTGGTCATTTGCCAATCAGTTCCACGCGTAGCGCACTCTCGAAATTTCAAAATGATTTGGGATTCTGGTCTGCAATTTTAGATATTTTATAGCTCTCACTGAGCAAATAAAAATAAATTACGTTCCTAGTGATTCCACAGAAGTGTGTAATCATAATAACACTTTTAAGTTGGTGAAATATTCGGTTTTTCCCTCTGGTACAAAATTAGAAAAAGTTTATATGGTTTTGTATTTGCAAACATATAATGATAATCAGTTTCCCTTTTTTCTTAACCATTTTATGGTTTCCCCTGGAATATTTATTAGCAAAAAGTCAAACTTGATTTGTGATTAATGAGGAAAATGTTTTTTATAATAAAAAAGTGAAAACAGCTTTGTGATAGCTTGTTACCTCGCTTTGTCTCGACATTCGTGTGTCCAAAGCAGTTTACAAAATATAATTTACCAAGTTGCAGCTCATTCAGCTCCACTTAGGGTTGTATTGAAAAATAAGAACAGATGAGTGTTTAAATGGCGTGATTGAACAATGGCCAACGATAAAACCATTAAAATTTAAACTAGCAATTTTGAGTGCGTTGCGATCTTCAAAATGGGTAACAATTCGAATTGTTTTTTCAGCCCAGGCAGCGGGGATCGATCCTATTTCTTGGCCCTGGAGCTCTGAGCCTGGGGCAGGGTGCACATGGACCGGGTGGCATGATAGTTGGCGCCGCCGCCAGTGGTCTGCAGGAGTCCATGGGTATCGCGACGCGGCTCCCTTCCGGCTCTGCCGCCCTGCTGCAGTGGCATGCATCCCTGCCACATGAGGCGACCCTGGCTCTGGCTGCCATTGCGCGGCACATTGTTCGCCTGGCGGCCGCGACTCATCAGCGGCTCGTCGAAGAAGCCCTCGTAGAGCACAAAGTTGTTGCCCTGCGGAATGGTCTTCACCAGATTGTAGTGCTTCCCCAGGAAGGCGAGCAGCTTCGTCGACGGCCGATCCACCGAACACTTGCCGGCCGTCCAGCCCTGTTCGTCCAACATCCTCTGGAACAGCATCTTCCCCAGGCCGTGACGCTGCCGGGACTCGTGGATATAGAAGTCGAGGATGGCCGGAGTGCCATCGGCGCGACGATACGATCCCTGCTTGTCGAAGAGGAACAGATCCTTGGTGCCGACCTTCAGCAGCCCGGTGACCATCCAATTGCCATTCTTGTTATCGGCCATCAGGTAAACCACCTGATTCGGCATTAGCTTCTCGGCGGTGGTAACTGGTTGTCGCAGTCCCTGCGCCACCGCCGAAAGTTGGCCCATGGCATCCAGTATTTGGCTCAATTGGCAGCTCGGCACCATCTTCACGGACCTCTGACTGCCGCGGTTCACTGGGCTCATCTTGGGACGAAGGGAGTCCGCCTGCACCTGGATGATCGGTTGTGGGAATAAGTGCTTGATATCAAATCCGAACTCCACCATCTTCCCGCTTTTCGTGGTAATTTTTGTCGGTTTGTTTAGCTTTCGGTAGTACAAAAAATAGATGGTACAGTTTTTAAGGTGCCGAGATATTACGAAAAACGAGAATAGAGGAAAATTTACCCCTAGTTTTTGGATCCGCCCGAATAAGCAATATTATATATTTCTGACTTACTTGGTCTGCAATGTTAAGGTTTTCCACCAGCCTGCTTCAAAAGAAAATATCTTCGATTTGTTTTTCCAAAGTATTCCAAATCCCACAACTCAAATAACAACAAAAAATATTTTTAAGTAAAAATGCAGTTTTGTTTGAAATTTTATAACGAGTTTAACGATGTACGACCTTCCATATAATATTTCTTATGTTATGGCCAAAATCCTGACTTTTATACACAGAAAAAATGTAGTTTTTACATGGTTTTTTATTATTTCGATTTAAAATGGCTTAAAACCCAACAGAGCAGAAAAATAGGAGGACCGTGGCGAAGAGTTAATTGAGAACACTAGACCTTTTCAAGGACAAGCCATTGAATCGATTTTGGTGGCAGCCAACCAAGACCATAATCGGATGACAGTAAAATTATATTGACCCTGGCAACTTAAGAGATTGCGGCATTTTCCGCATACCCATTTGTTTAAGAGCTTCCACTCACTTGAGCAAATGCCAAACACTTGTGGTGAAAAGGACTGCAGTTGAAAGTATCTTTAAAAAATATTTCCTTGTATTCATATTAAAATAAATGCGGCATTTAAAGTTTAATGTGCAGAGCATAAAGATATAAACTAAATACAGAACATAAAGAGTGTACGAATTTCTGCTTGAAATATTTAACTATTTTGCTTGATATCAGCAAATGTGGCCGATGGCAGAAAATATTTTAAGTTTACTACGTTTGAGGGGAGTGAATTTATTCCGAGTTTATGGCCTGGTCATTCGGAGATGCCGGGCTCCTTTCATCTTTCGCCGGCCAGAAGGAAAGGCTGCAAAGGCTGAAAAGACTGGAAAGGCTGGAAAGTCATTGACCGTGAAGTTGAAACGGCGGCAAGTCAGGACGGGACAGTAATCCACTGAGAAGGCATGCTTGATTGCACTAACCCCATTGCCGGAGGTCCTTTTAAGGTCCTGCTGTGCTTCCCAGGCTCTAAGGCTCTCAGGCTCTCAGGCTCAAAGGTCCGTCCACATTTTAATATTCGGCCTTGTATTTAAACTATTTCTGGTCGTGTGCATATTTTTCGATTTTGACTTGGGCCCCGTAGAGTTTCCGGTTGCCAGAATTCCATTCCGGGTCAGATGTCAAGCCGTACTGATATGGTGGTGGTGATGGTTGGGTAGAAAAATGGGTTGGAATACCCCAAGTTAACTGATTGGCTGGCCTGGGCTTCGGTTCTAACGAAAATTCTGGCAACAGAGCTCTTTAATTTGGTTTGCCTTCCTTTATTTTTTTGTTTTTTTGAAGGAATTTGAGTTTTGCATTTCGATCAGACGATTTGCGTATATTTTCCTTTCTGGGGAAAATCGCTGGCATATGCCTTTAACATTCAAGGACATCGAAATGAATTCAATATGTAGTTTCACTTTGGCTCTGGCAATCCAAACGTTAATGGACTGTCAATTATCGCCACCCAGTGTGTGTAACGATAAGATATCGCCCCCAGACGCAAAACATTTCATACGCACTGGTGTCCATTCCATTCCCCTTCCTTTATCGCGTCACCATCGCTCCTCCTTTCCCTTCTCCTTTCCCTCTCCCTTCCGCTTTCATTCCTTTGGGCATCAGTATCCGTGTTCCCTCAACACTTTAGTACATCATTTAGTTCGAATTAGTTATGGACATAGAGCACACAACTCTCACCCGTGGAAGTCGAGCAGCCGAAGACACACAATCGAATGAAACAACTTTCCCCACTGCCAGGAATTTCGCTTCGAAGAGGGCAGGTTCAAAGGCAGTAGAAGGGAGGGAGGATAAGGCGGAGTTCCCTTCGAGGTCAGGGGTCGACTCTGGTTGCCCTTTTTACATTCGTATTTATGGGCAGGCCAGGGCACACAGCTCAAAGCGAATGCGAACACCAAATTGGCATTCGTTTTGGCCATTGAAAGAAATTCGTGATAGTTATCGCCTCTGAATGAGGTGCAATGTTTTCTACTTTTTTTTTTTTTTGGGAATGAAGCAAGCTGAGATCGCAATCGAAATCTAATGTTAAACAGGATGCAAAGGGTCGTAGAACTTGCCACAACATTGTATGTGTGATGTACATATTTAAAAATGAACATAAAGTAAATAACAAGAAAAGTATTTTTAACAGTTCACTTTTTAGTTAATGTTAATTTTTGGGGGGACGGTGGCCCAGCAGGTAGAGCGCTGGCCTCCGGTTCGGAAGGCCCGGGTTCAAGTCGAGCCCCAGGCTCCCCGAGAAAAAGAAACGGTCTCTTTTTCCAAATCTCCACCACTTCTATGCTCTATCGCTCACTTAACATTAGTAACAAATTTCGGCTCCCCGGACCCGCACACCCCCTCGTCCACGTTACTATGGACCCAACAATAAAACTTTCGTCACTCCTAGATGGCGCCAGGTGGCATCCCCACCGCTAGGATAAGTCGCTACTGGCTTATCACCGGTACGATCGAAAATCATTGATAACGAATCCTCTACAAGAAATTGTAGAGGCTCTAAGCTCCCGGGGTGGAGTAACAGAATGTAAATTTTAATTTTGCAATATTACGGAATAAATAAATTCAGTTCATTTTTCGGAGGAGTAAAGATATCTTTAATAACTTTCAATATTTGTTAAATAATTTTAAGGAACGTACTGAAATAAACAAGGCAGTAATATAGACAGAGGCCAGCAAAATGTATGATTTTAATTAATTACTAATGGATGAGTGCAATTAATCTCAAAATGGAATCATTTCTCTCAGTGTACTTTGTCGTTTCGTAACAGGACATGGAGAACAGGCAGGCGGACTTCAGTTTGAGCCCATTCCCGTTTATTTGCGAGTCTCGGAGTCGGAGTCCTCCGACTCCTCCGCCAGGCTTGTCTGGCTGAGTACCCATTAGAGTATGACGAGTGGTGGAGTCCTAGGAGTCCTTCATTTACACCCCCAACCCCTCCCCCATTCCGCATCCACCCAATTTAGAGGCTCTTAGTTGGGTTTTCGGTTTCTCAAACGACGAGCAGTGAGCATCGCCTTCTCGAATTGATTTTACTTTCCCCTCAGCCGGCGGAAGTGAGTCGCTGGCATTGTTCGTCTTGTTTGTCTTGTGTAAGTATTTTTATTTCTTTTCATGCTTATTGGAATTTTATTATCAGCTCATATAAGTGCAATAAAACGCTGATGTACATACGCCTGAAAAGGGAAAAGCGAAGAGGGAAAACGAGGCCAGACACACACACAAGAACTTACCATGACCCTCAAATGAATAGTTTTTCCCGCCCCGAATCGAAAATGAAAAGTTCGCCATTTGTTTTGCCTTGAAATATTTTCAGTTTTGCTTTATTTATTTGATGTATTCTTATGCTGACGCATCCTATTCGGTATCATTTATTGTTGTTATTCGCTATTATTATTTCCGTAAGCTATGATAATTATTTTTGAAATAGTTTGCTTTTCTTAGAGCTTAGCCTACGTTTCATTTAGTTAATAATTCTCATAATTTTCTAGAAAAAAAAAAACAAATCTCTTGTCAATTTCTTTAAAATAGTTTTCATTTCAGTTTTTCCGTTTCCATGTTCCATTTCTTTTTTTTTTTCAGTTATTTTACAAACTTGTATATATATTTATATATTTGCTTTACTTGGTAGAGATATCTCGCTACGGAGGGACCTTAAAATTATGCTATATCCTTCACAAATTAACGATAACAGATAACAATTCAACGACTCGGAAACTCAGGCTACAATTTCGATAAATCAACAATAATAATAATAGTGTGTATGTGTGTGTGTGTGTGCTTGTGTTGTTTGTTAGTGTGTGTGTATTTGGTGTACATACGTATAAGTAGTTAGTTCAAGTTACAAATTTACCAATTAGCTATAATTAATAAGCGTTTTCTTTGGAAGAACCTAACTTAAAAGCATTTCGCACCGATCTGAAAGTTGAACCTGTTTCCTTAACTTTAAGGCTTAAGATTACCGCTGAAAAAAATACACTCACCAATACAACAAGACAACACACTCACGCACACACATGCACACCAAAGTACTCTATATATGTATATACTATATATATGTATATGTATATTGGAGTTTTTAGGAAAGTATAAAAACTGTCTGTTGAGCTTTTCCTCGAGTTTCCTACGGGAATTTTCCATGGAAATGCGAGCCATTGCTTATCGCTAAAGCCTAAGTACACAAAATCCGAGCTTAGGGCGTATATTAAATGGAATTGTTTTACAAACTACCGCACACGTAGGAGTAATTTACCTATCAATTATTTGTCACATAGAAACAGTTAAGAGGACGGCTGTTGAAACCAACGACCAAACGCCTTTCCATCCGCCAGAATCCTTTGAAGTTCAGAGGCCAAGCCACTTTGAATCCTTTTTGGGCCGATTAAAGGTTTTGGTCCTTGTTTCAAAACTCAGTTTTGATATACGAGTATAAATACCATATACTATATGTATGTTTCCCTATACATTTACGAGTATATCTGCTGTGGTGGTGGATCGGCTCCCTATCCTTAATCCTTAATCCTTAATCCCTACTCCTTAATACTTATTTCTTATTCCTTATTATTATATTCCCCCCCGCGTATTGCTTCTAGCAACTTGGTAGCCTTGGCTCTAGATACCCTGATTCTCCCTCTCCCGCCCCCTTTCCCCACCCCCTCCCCCGAAATCCTTGCTATGCATCCTGGCAACCTACTTAGTGTACAGGTAAACCCCCTTGGTACTATCTGACATACATAGCTAATGGATATACTATTCTCTTTGTTCTTACGTCTAGGCAGAGTGATTACGAACTAGTTACGACCTCTGGATGTTTAAATGCTCCTATATTATCTTGTTACTATCTGGTTTTTCCTCTTTGATATCTACTGAGAACGGAAGGTGGAAACAAAAAAGTGTGTGTGTTTTAAGCGGCAGCTTCATCGGGATCGGCGCCATTCGATATTGTATTTATTTGTGGGGCTCATTTGATTTATGGTGTCTTTTTGTGTTTGTGTGCGTGTCACTCTGGCGATAAATACTACTCCAATTTGTTATTCAACCAACTAACTTGGAACATTCGTATGTGTTTGTGGCTTGGAAGGCGCCGACCTCAAGGAACCGCTTGCTAACTCTCTAACTTTCTAACTCTGTAACTCTCCAATTATCTACGCTTCTGGCTTATCTAATTATGAACTAACTAACTTAGACTAGGGTACCGATACCGCGTATCGATATGGAACAATTATCGCCAGCAAAACCCAAAAAGTTAGCCTTTAAGGATATGATTTATACGCTTATCTAGTTTACATTATCTAGTTACATATACTATAGATTTTTTTTGGGATTCGGAAGGGACTGTTTTGTGCTGTGATTGGGTGGGAATTAGCTTGCTGCTCGTGATATGTGATAGGTTTTTTAGGTTTTCGGGAGCAGCCTACAAAAAACACTACGTTCTCTTTTTTGTTTGTTTGTAACCTGTTAAAGCGAATCGTATTCTTATCGCTAGTTTTCGAGTGTTTACTGTGGGGGCGCTTAAGTGTTAATTGTTAAAAATTGTACCTAGCCTACAGCTCGTAATGCGTTCTCCACTTAGTGTCTATGTACAGTATCTATTTACATTTACATATAGTAAGTAGCTGAACCTTAATGAAACTGATAACTAAGGCCCAATGCCCAATGCCAATCGACGATTGGCGTTTTGAGATCTTGAGGTCCTGCTTTTGGCACAATTTGCCACCAGACAGTTGAGTACAGTCAATCCATTCCACAAAGTACAGGGCTCTCCGCGTGCGAAGAACCTGTTGCTCATTTCCATTGCTTTTTCGTGTGATTTGTTGTTTTGTGATTTTTGAGTTTTTTGCTGTATTTGCTATAGTTGCTATATTTGCTAGATTTACTATTGACCTGATTGGCGTTTTTAATCACCCCATGTGCATGATCTTCTTGAAGGCCTTGCGAAACTCGGGATTGAATATCGTGTAGATGACCGGGTTGACAAAGCTGTTGATGTAACCCAGCCAGGTGGTCATCATGTAGGCGGTTAGGCCTGGTCGGCAGTCTTTCTTGAATTTGGCGCACATGGCGTCCATAATGTTGCAGCTGAAGAACGGCAGCCAGCAGAACAGAAAGACACCTGTTTTGTTTTCCAATTTTAAATTGGGTAATACATGGAGTATATATATATTTGATTTAAATTGAAATGGAGAACCTTGCTGTTGTGTGTGTGAACTTACCCAAAACAATGGCCAATGTTTTGGTGGCCTTGCGTTCCTTTTTCGCCGACGATTTTTCGCGTTTCTTTTTCGAGGCCTTGTGCACCTTGTATATCGTGAATCTGCGAAAAACACGCAAGGATAATAGGCCGTGTTATATTGCACTTGGCGGCGAAACAGGAAAAGGAAAAGCTACAGGCAACAGGGCCAAGGAAAAGCCAAACTAATAACTGTAATTAGGGGAAAGTGGGGTAGATATGGATATGGATATGGATGGGAGGAGAGGGATGAATGGGAGGCACTTTACTCACCTTGACGCCTGCGAATTCTTCTTATCCTTGCGCGAGGACGTTTTCGATGTTGCCGATAGCGTGGAGTCGTTGCGTGCCAAAGTCATGGCCTCCTGCACTCCGTAACGGACAAAGGACAATGGCTTCATGGCGACGCTGGAATGGGAACGCAATCTTAGTCGCTAAACTTTGCTACTATGCCACTACTTTCGGATTTCCACATTGCTAAATTGCTGGATTGTTGGATTTGCTGGTGTTTGCTGGTCTTGCCTACTTGCGGTTTTTGGTTAGGGAAAGTGCTAAAATAAGGTGCCACGCTTCTAGCCAAGTATATAGTGCTGCTAATGAGTGCTGGGTGTTAGTGATGTAATCATATAATTGTTTGAAATTGTAATTGAATAATCAATTAATAATCGTGGTAAAAATTATATAAAATCTTTGAGAACAAAACAAGAAAATGGTAGTGGTAGTTATTAATTAAAAACTTTATTATTTATTAAAAAAAAAAAACTTAATATTCACACTTGGGCTTTCCTTCATAATAAAATTAAAATTTTCAGTGTTAAGGAATTAAGTGGAAAGTTCCAATTATAACAGAATATTAAAACTTCATTTAATATATATTTTAAAATTTTTAATTTAATTTAAATATATTTTTAAAAAACAAATAATTTAGTGAAAGAAATCAATGTTATCATAAAGTAATATTTGATTTTTGTGTGGTAAAATATATTTTAAATGCTCCTGATGATGATGCCACATTGGATGTGTGCTATTTCGATGATCCTTTCTACCAACTAATCAACTAGTACAGTTTTCATTTCTACTACAGGGTTGCATTCGATGAGAGCTGATCTGAGCTGAGCTGGAAATACCTGGAGTTATCGACCCCGACTGACCTGAGGGTCGGCTCGCCGCGCTTCGGCGAGTCGTCGGCGGTGTTGCGCCGCTGGCTGCTGACGCTCGACCGCTGGAGGGTGGCGCCACTGGGGAGCGGGCTGTCCGGCGGGGAGCCGCTGCTCGTCGTTCGCTGGGCGGCCGAGGTGCCTGAGGTGGCTGAGGCGCCGGAGGCGGGGGCCACGCCTCCTGCAAGGACATCGTCAACGTTTGAGGCAGCATAACCAGAATCATGATTACCATTCGGATCGGCGACGACCAGTTGCGGCTGTGTTGTAATTTGGGCCACAACGCTGCTGCGATTGCGATGTAATGTTGTTGTTTTTGTTGTTGTTGATGTTGTGATTTCAATCAAAAGTAGCCGCGACAATCAATCAATCAATCAATCGATCAATCAAACGGCGGCGAACGGAGAAATGGAAGAGCAACGTCAATTAAAAGGTAAGGCAAGATTGAGTTTTAATAAAGTGACGCGGGCATTAATTGAATTATTGAGAATTATATTTTTTAACCCCCTCAGCATTTCGGTTCGAGCCGAAAGCATCCTCATCCCGAATCCCTTTGTGCATCCTGGCCTGTCATTAACGGTTTCATTTCATGTCCTTATTGGATTAAGTAGCCCATCATCGGGATGCTAATTGGCTGCGCTTAACGCTCGCTTTTAATGGCGGTTTCTGCTCTTTTTTTCCCCCTTTCGCCGCACATTTTTTTTGGGTCCTTTTTGGGCGGGCAGGACCTGATTGAAAGTGCAGCGCACACACTCGTCGAAAGTGCTGCTGCTGCTGCTGAGCTGCTTTTATGCCGGCAATTGGCGGAGCCTGCCATTAGATCGGCATTCTGGAAGGAAGTGCAGTTGGAGCTCAAAAGTGGTGGGGAATGAGGTGGCTTATCTATTACGTGTTTGTGGCACGTGCCACGACTGCCGTGCTGCCGTGCCGCCAGGGTTGCCACGGCTGTCAGGGTTGCCAGTGGCAAGGATACGGAAAACGGAAGGCAGTAACCAGAAGCCAGAAACTGGAAACTAGAAACTAGAAACTGCTGAGCCCCAAACTTTCACACGGCCATCGCAGGTAGCCTTCGTTTTGGAGTTGCAGTGCAGTTTTTGGCCAAAAGTCAATGTTTTAACACTCCATGCACGTAAAGCATGTAGTGCTCCCTCGAAGGAGTGAACTAATAATAATTTATATAAACCATTTAAATGTAAAGTACTTTAAAAAGAGGAATCTGTTCCAAAGAAAAACTTTAAAGCTATTTAATCTATTGAGTTGCAAATGTTAAATCTTGTTTTGAGTTTATTTTTCGGAGGGAGCAGTAAGTACAGCTTGTTTTTGTACAATTCTAAATCCCCTTAAAGCTTTCATTGTTTTATTACGTGTTTTAGCCAAAACAACGAATATCCTTTCCAAAAGGACTACTCACTTGCCGGTCTCTTCGACGACGGTGGCCAGCATGAACTCGGTGGACTTGTCGTTCACGATGACGTGGCAATCGTCGATGTCCGGCGAGATGGCGTTCTCGTCCTCCTCCTCGTTGGATCCACTGGCCGTGTTGGTGGCCGCCTCGTCTGGCATTATCCTGCTGGCATGCCGACTGCTGTCCAGGGCCGTTTCGGCCAGCCTTCGGGTTTGGGCGATGTTCTCGATCACACTGCCACCGGTGAGTTCCGATAAATGCGGCTTCCTAGCCGCCCGCTGTTTCCGCGCCCGACTTCTCAACGCCTGCCGAACGATAAACGATAAATAATAGAGGATAAAGGATACGGAATATGGAGTACGGAATGCGGAAAACAGGATACAGCATTCGCCATTCAGGATACAGGATATGGAATGAGATGGCGAACCGATTAAGCAGTCGCTTGCTGCGCTTGCATCCTCGGCAAATTCGCCCCCCAGTCAGCAGCTAATGTGCACAAATAGAAAATAGAAACCCCCCCCAGTGAAAACCCCGACGGGATTGGAAATTCTGTTTCTGATTCGGAATTGTGAATTGTGAACCGTGAATTGTGCTGCGGACAGCTGAGAATCGAAAGCGACAGCAATATTGATTCCACTCGGCGCGGGGAAATCCGATTTTGATTGCGGTTTGAGTATAATAGCACTTGAATCTGTTGTTTAAATTTTAGAAGGCACTGTGCCATTTAAATTACAAGGTATTTAAAAAGAAGATAGTCTTAAAGTTTAACTTCATTTACTTCATTTTGTACGCCCTTTAAAAAAGGGAAGTGGTTGTTAATAGTCTTAATTATGCATTAAATGAAATGGAATTAAATGCAGTATATTTACACTTATTTCCTATTATTTATTTAGCTTAAAAATGTACTCTGCATTAGATATTTCTCTTTTTAAATTTATATCACAGAGTTTAAATACAAGTAGAGAAATAAATTGAAGTGACTGTTGTACGAATGTACACAAAATCGTATCCATATCGCATTTTAATTGCTTGCTAATGGCGCTTGAATTTGAAAAGCAAAACCACATGAATAATTTAATACCGTATCCGTACAAATTAAGATGCCCTCGGGTGTATTTTGTTTCGCTATTCGTAAACGATACTTCCAGCTATTTGTGGCCATGCGAATCGAAATGCTAATGATCTTTTTGGCTGGCAATAAATGTACAATCCCCGTCCCCTTCAGAATGAATATAGAGTATAATATATGGCATACTGAATGTATTCACCTTGAAAATGTTCCAGTAGAGAAACACCATGATGATGCAGGGTATATAGAAGCTGCTCAGCGAGGAGTAGAGTATAAAGTCGGCGTTGTAGAAGGCGCACACATCCGGTTCGCGATTGGGCGTGTTGTTTAGGCCCAGAACAATTGGCGAACCGATGGCAGCCGAAATGGCCCAAACCAGCAGTATTGTAAGGCAAACGCGGCGGCTATTTTTGTGCTTGGCGTACTTTATTGGCTGTGTCACAGCGATGTATCTACAAGATATTTAAATAATATATATATTAATAATTATAATAAATATAATTATATAATGTACTTTAAGGTAATTTAATTTAAAGTCTTACCTGTCTATGGAGATGGCAACTAAGTTGAATATCGATGAAGTAGAGCATATCACATCCATGGCTATATAGAAATCACAAACGACGTCGGGCAGGGCCCAAACTCCATTTACCTGTAAAGTAGATAAATAGAGGGTGGAAAATGCTGTGAGTACACTTCATTTGTTCAATCGTCTTTGGGCGAATTCTATTGGAATTTTCGTTCGCTCCCCATTGTCGAATATTAATAACAATATTTTCCCATTTCCGAGCCTCCCCACAAATTAGTTTTAGGCGCTCTATCTCTATCTCTTCACGGACATCGTCTACGGCAACCCACACACACTCACACAGTCCCAATGGACTACGTGAAAACCTCAACAAAAACGCCAGGAATTTCCCAAGCCAAACAATTTGTAGCACACAAAGCACATAAAAAAGGCCGAGTTGGGTTTTCCGATGTATTTGGGTGTGGGTTTTTCTCTCAACTGAAGCTGACAGCACTGCACGTGTGCACTCCTGAAAGGATATATTGTATTGCCGCCGACTAAGGTATATTTAATTGTGATCTTCATTTGAAGCGCTGTCTTGGGAGCTTTTGAAGCCAGAAAAATGGAGAAAAATACAATAAACAACAAACTGTTTGTTTAAATTCAAAAAAAAAAAAATACATAGGTAAATGTAGGTTTATATACAGTATACTTTTCATTTAATACTATTTAAAAAGAAAACTGTAGTATCAGTAAGTATCTCGTAGTCGGATTTACTCTACAGTTTTCTATCTTGTTTTTCTTCTCCAATCGGTTTTGGTCCCAAATTAGAAAAACAAACTGAAACTCGAACCGAATCGAGTTCAGCCCCTCGGAGGGAGTGTAAAATATTTGTACACACGCAGACACGCAGCCACACAGGCAGCAAAGTGAAAGCGAGAGTGAAAGTCAAGTGAAAGCAGCATAGAAATGTGCTAAAATAGCTGGGCATTCGCAGAATCCGACTTCGATGGAGTATTCTTAGCCAAAGCTAAGCGAGCATAACAAAAGTTGAGCTCCGGCTAAGGAAAGTGGCAAAAACTTTTCGATATAAAGACACACGCACGAATGCTCATCCTTAGTCCTTACACTCACACACTAACGCACACTAATACACACACACATACACACACTCACACACGTTGTGACATTTTTTACTGCTTTTCTTGGCTTCCTGCCGGAGTCCATTGTCAGGCACATTGCGTATACGAAACGTACGCCAGGTTCCTTTCTTTTCGTTTCTGTTCTGCTCTGCTCTGTTCTTTTCTACTCGCCTGCAGCTGAACTATAATTTATAATGTATTCTTAGGTATTGACCATAAGTGTGTATATACATAAAAAGTGTACTAACTCTGCTCCTGTCATCTTGGCTTAATGTTTTTGCTTAGATTCCTTTGCCGAGTTTTTAGTGCCTTTGTTGTTTCTTCTTTTTTTTTTTTTAGAAGGCGCCATGAAAAGTTTCCTCCAGTAAGATGGTTTCCTTGTTTTTCAAAGAATTTTCCATGATATTTCATATTTTTCGGTTTATCACGAACCATAAAAACCAGTCAGGTTCTGCTTATTGTTTGAAGTTCTTTCCCCAAATTTACAATCCATCACCTTAACAAATTTTCTGTACACAGAAGATCTGTTCATAAATTATTTATACTAAATGGATTCTGTTCTTAACCAAATGTAGCATTTGTCGAATTATTTATGGCTCAATCTTGGAAAGTTTGCTCGCAATTGCTTTCTTTTGGTGCTTTCTTCGACTTTCTGCTTTCAGCTTTTCAGCTGCAAGCTTCATTGAATTTTTTAATATTTTTCGAAAGCCATTTCCCCGCCTTTCGGGTTTCCGCCCGAAGTCTATTCTGTTTTGGGTATTGTGAAAGCGATTTCCAATTCAGCGAAAGTGTCTCTCTGCTCCTCACTTTCCCCCCCAAATTTGTTTTTTTTTTTTTTTTTTTTTTTGTTGGTCTTTCTGGCTGTTCGAAAATGTTCAATTTATGTATTTTGCGAGCATAAAGGCATTTAAAGTCAGTTGTCTGCCGGCAGCTGGCTGTCCTTCCACCGCCTCCGCATCTTCGTCCTTTTCTTCGGCTTTTCTTTCCCATTCTTGTATGCCGAGTCTCCTTTTCGGTTTTCAGTTTTTCAGTTTCTGTCTCTGGATCCTGGATCCTGGCTTCTGGCTTCTGGTTTATTTTAGAGCAGGAATAGAATGAAAATTTCTATGCTATCGCCGTCGTCGCTGCCGCCTGTTGTTTGTGTGCGGTTCCTGTAGCAGGGCATAAAATAAATAAATTTATCTATTTGCACAGTCAAAGGCGAGCGAACACACAAAAACCCAAAGGGAAAAGCTTTCAGATGCTCTCTCTCTCTCTCACTCCCTCTGTCTCTCCCTGTCTCTCTCTATATCTATCTTGCTTTCGCGTCCAGGGAAATGGTCCAGGACAATGGAAAAAGGCAAGGAGCCAGGGGAAAAGAGACAGGGACACTCACCCAAACGTAAACACACACACACACACAAATACACACACGCAATGAGGGGCACACGCAGACAAAGGCAAACAAACAAACACACAAACAAACACACATAGCATTTTGATAATTGAGCTTCTGGTTTTTATAGTTTGCACGCTGATACGAAGAGAAAGCAAAGGATATCCACACACACACCGCATTGATTTGTATGAGTGTGTGTGTTGGCGGGTACACGCAGGAAAATTGATTGCTTTCTCAATTTGTAGCCCATTTATATAATTAAATATATTAACTGAATTGAATTTATATAAGGTGTAGCTGTGTTCTCAATAATTTATTTATATTTATTCAATTAACAACATTGACCCGTTAAAATAAAAAACCAATTGCAGTTTAAACAGTTAAACCATCCATCTGAATTTATAAAATCCTTGTAAAACACTAATAAAAATAATGTTGTATTATATAAAATATGAGATTCATAAAGAAATGTTTTCCCCAGTGTATGTCTATATACTTTTTGGCTTTGCCTCATTTTCAGTGGATGGAAATCGGGCTGGCAAGTAACTATTTGTTCAAATCAGGGGAACGCACTCGCACACGAGGAGACTTTTTGGCAAAGGGGGCGGTGATTTGGTCAAAAGGCTTGGCCAAAAGCTGACTTAGAACCCACTGGGAATTGCTTCAACGCTCCCAATTCAGCAGAAAGTTCATCGGACTGCTGTGCAAACTCAACCGATGGTCGAATGAGAGTAAATCAGTTTGCTTAATTTCTTGAAATGGTAACCAAAAATGCTAAATCCTGTGCAAATAAGCAAACTAATAAGTAACTACTGAATATACACGAAAATCCTTTCGCAGCAGAAAGATGTTTCTCGGAGGAAAAGGTAGAAGCTTTTAGGTGCAATGGGGTCAATCATCCAACATTATGAATAAGTGGAAAGTTTCCTGACACACTTCACAAAGGGAATTTCCCCCCTTCTCCATAAATTCCGAGCTGCGTTACGAGGGTCAACCAAATGTATAAGTTTTGCGGTTGACATGGGACAAGAAAGTGATAGTCCAATAAAAAATGGAGCTCGTTAAGTTACTCGAGCATCAGATGGTTAAGTAAATAAATAAATATTGACATAATTCATCAAAATAATCAGAGCTTTATCTATTTCTATTTATAGTTATTTTTTTATATTAAATCGATTATTTTGTTGAGTTGATAAATTTTCTATGCCTTTCAATAAACTGCTACAAATATTTTTCACAGTCTGAAATATATTCAAAGTTATGGGTTTTTATCTTACACCCAAAGCCAATTAATGGAAATTCATAAAACTTATAAGTTTTTGACCAGATACCTTACTTAATTCGTAATGCAAATTCCTTTAACAGCTCTCCACAATTTCCAGCGATTTCTCTAATAGCAAAAGCGAAAAAGGCGGGCTTTTTAATTAAAAGGAATAGTGGTCAGAACGCTGAAAAGTTAAGGGCTTAGAAAATGGATGAGTCGCGGAGTTGGCGGCGTTTTCCCTTTGAGACCGAACAAATCCTGAGAGTCCTGTGCACTCAACAAGTTCGCGGCAAAGGACGCGTTAATTAGCCGCCATTACGACGGCCCCGCCTCCCCCCCTTTCCTCCCCTTTCCCCGCCCGATCACCACCCCCTCCCCTTTTTGGGGTCTCTGGATATTTACTTGTTTGTATTTGCTTATAAGCATTTGCCAGTTGGCAGGTGAGGCGACGAAGCGGCGAAAAGCGAATGGAAATGGAAATGGAAATGGTGACGATGCGTCTGTATCCTGTGTGTATCTGTATCTGTGTGCCGGAATATCCTTGCAACCAGTGAGTGTTCGTATGTGTGTGTGTGTGTGTGTGCCATTTCCTTTATGCCTGTCAATTGCGCATTTTATTTACCAGTGTCGATTTATTTTATTTCGCTTTGCGCCGCTGTGTTTTATTTGCCCTGCCGCCCGCTTTTCGTTTCATTTTCTTGTGTTTTCTCTTCAGCTTTTCCTTATTTTTTCTCCTTCTCTTTTTTCTGAGTGGCGAGAGTAATGAAGCGGAAGCGGAAACGAATTACTTTGTAGCAGTCGCAGGAGAGCCTTGACCTTGCCGCCGAGTGCGTGTCTATATTATGCATCCTTGGGATCCAGCGAAAGAAGGAGATTCTGGAACGCAGAAATCGAGTATCCAGGACCCAGAATCCAGAATCCAGGAGAAAACCCATAAAGGACCTCGGGCACTGTCGCACGTGTCCCACGTTGCAGGTTCTCCTCCTGTTTTTGGTTCATCTAGTCCTGCCATATCCTTGTTTTTTTCCTCTCCTTTTTCGTCCTGCTACTGCTGCTGCGGCTGCTGCTCCTCGTTTTGGCTATTAAAAGTTTGACGGCCCCGGGCGTCACTTAAATTGTTAGTGAATTGAAAGTGGCCCCGAAATTGTTCATCGGAGCAGGCTGAGTGGGCCAGGACTTCCCGGCTGAGGAGCTCCGGAGCTCCGAGGAGTGCCGAATACGTGGGCGACAGGACAGGTAGCCAGGACAACATGAAAGTGTCATCGAGCCAAACCGAGCTGAGCCAAACTGAACTTTGTGTTTTAAAGCGACGTGTCGTTTATCAACTGGCTGAACTCTTGAACTCCCTAACAACCAACAA